ACTACTACTACTACTACTACTACTACTACTACTACTACTCTACTACTACTACTACTACTACTACTACTACTACTACTACTCTCTCTCTACTACTCTCTCTCTCTCTCCTCTACTCTCTCTCTCTCTCTCTCTCTCTCTCTCTCTCTCTCTCTCTCTCTCTCTCTCTCTCTCTCTCTCTCTCTCTCTCTCTCTCTCTCTCTCTCTCTCTCTCTCTGGGCACCTTCATATGTTCTCCCTTGTTTCTGCAAAAGATCATTGCCTTTCTCTAGAGGGGAAGTCCACATTTCCCATATGGTGACCCCTCTAGGGCAAAGGTCATATATATTAGGAAAATGATTTGATACGGCTGCAACCCTATCAAAATAAGTAAAGGCTCACCTCATAACTCATCCAAAATTGTAATTCTAGTGTTGAAAAACCTTTAAATCAATCATCTCGGCTTGAGCATTATGGTTATACAAAAACATTAGGATTTCAAATTCTAAAAATAGTATATATTGCAACAAATCATTTAGGCCATCCATTTCGCCTTAAAAATAAGTGTTTACAAATCCACAAGATTTGTACCATATTTTGAGTTTTCAATTTTATTGACAGTGTTGGAAACTAAGTTTAGAGCCACCATGAAGATTTTCCATGCAAAAAGTGCTTTCAGGATGAAGATTTGAGGTGAGGTTTTATTTTGCTTTCATTAAGCTTAGGCCCTATAGAAACTTCATATGCTTTATATTCTCTCTCTAAGAACCACTAATTTAAAAGATTGATTCTAGACCCGGATCGGGCACCTCAAAAATTGATCTGGATTGCCATTTGACTGTGCAGAAAAGTACAATTGTACCTTCAAAAAACACTACGTGAAAAAACAGTGGATCAGCCAAAAACCGGTTCAAATCGATGAATCAACAGTTTGGATCGCCGTTTTGTTGTGCAGAACCACCGGTAACATTCTAGACTTGACTGCTTTCCTCTATATATACAGAACCGGACCGGAGTGACTGATTCTCAGGTCGGACCGAGGGATTATGTGGTGACCTGACGTTTTTTAATTATTGCTAAGAACCCCAACTGACCTATAATGCCTTCAAGCAATAATATATTGTGTTCTCGTGGTGTCTATGCTTGTGTGATTATTTTTTATGGTCATTTCTTATTTTCACTCGCTTATTTCTTTTCTAACCAATTAAGTACACGATCCTGGTGGGATTTCATTATCCGGAAAAATTTCTACATCTAAGTTGGTCTTCAAAACCCAACAAGCTCAACCAGCAAGTATAACTTGTACCATATAATAGAGTGTGCAAATCATCATACTAACTCTTGAACCTAAACACTTACTTAAACATGAGAGTAAGAGCAACAATAGGTCTACGAATCCTTGTATATCCCACTCAAGGAACCCAACTCTGGCCCTAACAAGACAAGGTAATCCTTGTCCTAGCATTTACAACTCACATGAGACCCTTCCCTATTCATTGATTTTTAAAATACATTTGGACACAAAAACCTAACCCCCTTTCACTATTGGCTTCTTGTTCTTTTTTAAGACTTCCGAATTTTATTCTCAAAAGGAAGACCTAAGTTAAATGAGTTATGCCCCTCTTGTATAGATGACGTGCAAGCATATTAGTTTCCAAGCATCAATCGAACCCCCTCTGTTTCTCTCTCCCCCTTTAAAAAAGTTCAAATAAATGGAGCTTAAAGCCCCTCAAACCTAACTGCACAACCACAATGTGGACCCCAACTCTTCCATTTACTAACAAATTCCATCCCCATTCCCCACAATATAAAACCCAAAACTTTCCCCAAAAACCAGATCTCTCTCTCAACTTCCTCAACAGTCACTCACAAATACACAAAACTTCCTCAAAGCTCTCTCTCTTCTAACTTCCCCAACAAGCCAAAAAAAGTGATCTCTCTCTCCTCTCTGATCGCCAACAAAGCTCCATTAGGATACCTTCAACTTCACTCTCCAATCATTCCAACTTGCTCTTCAATGTTCCACCCTTCTCCTCTAACCCACCATGTCTCCATGCCCTTAAAAAGAAGACTCCTTAGGACATGGAGACTACTAAAGAGACCCAAATTTCAGATCAAAAGGCCCATCCTCACAAACATTTTCCGCTTTCGCAGCAGCAAGAGCAAGAAGTTTCTCTCTCTAAAATACAAGACTAGCAAGAAGAAGAGGTTTCTCTCTCTAAATTGTTTTTCACCAGAGGCCAACCCTGAGGATATGGACATGGTGGGTGAGCTCAAAAGCTTAGGTGAAGGGGTTAGAGAGCCAATTCTCTACCCTTCACCACTCACACCAGCCTATGTCAAGAGACTTGCTATGGGCCCAAATGCTCCAAAGGTAAATGCAAGAGAGGATGCATGCCAAAGTTTTCAAAATTACTTAGTTGAAATGATAGTTGAGGAGGGGAAGTTAAGGGACCTTATGGATGTAGAGGAATTGCTATATTGTTTTGGCCAACTGAGATGCCCTGTTTATGTTGATTTGGTGACTAGATTTTATGCTGAGCTTTGCTCTGATTTATTTTCAGAGGGCAATGGAGAGGATATGGATGTGTTTCTAAGTAGGAATTCTTAGAGGCCCTGAATGTATCATGATTTTGGGTTGTTTTGAATGTGGATTTTCAGTGTTTTTTTCCCTCATTTTTTTTTTCTTCTCCCCCCTCTTCTGCTGCGCTGATTTTTTACTTACGATGGTCCATTTCATGCCTTTCTTTTTGTTTAGCTTTTTCCTCTGTTGTCTTTGAATAGAAGGATTTTAGGATTGTGGATTGGATGGATAGCTTGAAGCCTAGAATTCATGTGTCTCGACCCACTTTCTCTCTCTCCCATTTATGTCTCGACCCTCTCACTCTACGATAATTTTTTTAAAGATTTATATCAAATTTAATAGTGATCTTTTAAAGTCCTATACATAGGTGTGGGACAGTCTCGTTAAGATTATTACTATATATGTCTCGACCCTCTCTCTCCTACGATAATTTTTTTAAAGATTTATATCAAATTTAATAGTGATTTTTTAAAGTCCTATACATAGGTGTGGGACAGTCTC